TGTGCGTGTGTGATATAATCCTGAACGTTCATATTTAACCCGTAAACCAAGGCAGCTCTGTGACATCTGCTTTCACCAGTCCTTTCACTTTATTTGAGTAACGCTCAATAACCTCACAGTGTGAGACACCATTGTCTCTCCGTCTCTCTACCTGACCGGTGCCTACCGTTACCACGACAATCCACTGAATAGTCTGAAAAAGCACAGCTGTTTGATATATAAAGCTTTCCATGCTTGCAGGCAAAATCATCCTCCAAGTAGGTTTGTGGCCTAGAAATAAACACAAAGCCATGTAATACACAAAATATGACGAGAAAAAGTCTTAAAATTGACAGATCATAGACAATTACGTGTATTTCCCAACAGCTTCGTCCTTAACGTACCCGACACCGCGAGCGTGTGGTCCCATATTGCGGTCGAAAATAAAATCCCACATGACTTTGGTCAGAGATGAGTGATAGGGCAAATTATCGTAGTACTCCGGGGCGAGTCGTTTGACTTCCGGTAGACGTGTGTAAGGGATGTAGGGAAAGTCGTGGTGCTCATTGTGGTAACCGACGTTGTACAGAATGAAATTAAGGGGTCCATAATAACAGTGAGTAGCTTGACCCTTGGTGAACAGATAATGTTCTGAGATGAAGTGCCCTGTAAGAGGGTGAATTCCTGTTCCGAAAAGCGTTCCAATCACCATATATCCGAGAGCTTTGATGCCGAAAACCTGGAATACAAGGAAGTCAAAAAGGAACTGGATTATGGTGTTGATAACTTCCCAAAATTCCATAGGTTTCGGGCTTTTGTAAAAAGGCCTAATTCCGTGCAGTGCTGGATGTATAATAACCCATATGAGTTTTGTGATTGGGCGGCGAAATAACCAGGCCTCTAAGCGTGTTGGAATGTCTACATCCTGCATTTCCTCTCCGAGGTACCTATGATGGTCAGCATGGTACTTCTTGTACGTAATTGCCATAGGAACCCCAAGAGGCAAGTTACACCAGATACTCAACACTCTATTCCACCAAGCCCGCTTGCCATGTCCAAAAGCTAAGTTGTGACCAATTTCGTGGATGGCAGCGCCGAGAGAATGATTGAAGCAAGCTCCTATACCGTATGCGAATAGTGTGACAGTCCACCAGGAGCAATCTTTGACGAGCCAGACCAAGAAGAGTTGAGAGATCACCGAAAATGTAACGGGGACAACAATCCAAGGGTCGGGACCCATCAAAGATTTAATCTCCGGATGTTTGTCTAGAATTTCTTTTCGACGTCCCGTATGAGGCTCTTCTCTGAAGAACCAGTCGTCTTCGTCTCCTTCCATTCTTGTCTGGAGAGTGAGAAATCCGTTGAACCATTTGAAAGGTTCTTTTGGAACAGTGAGAAGTTTATGGCGTTGTTTGGGCTCACTGTTTTCCTTCCCGTTGATCCCCTCGGATGCCGTTGTTGAGTACCCATTCATCTTTGCAGTCATCTAGAAAGAAGTAAAAATAAGAGAAGAAAAAAGTCAGCTCAACTTTCCAACAGTGTTTATAAGGCATTTGTGGGTATGTGAATGTCACTCGACTGTGTTGCCTGTGCCTGTTAACTAGTGATCCGACGTTATGAAAATATAAAATGTAGATTAAGAAACTATAAGTTTTGATTATCTACACGTCATAGAGTACAAAATGACCTACTCTCTAGCTTCAAGTCAACACTGCACACTAAATTATGAAAAATTCCTGTCTCCCAGCTTTCTCTATACAATTTCTAACTGCATCTGTAAAACAGCCAAACGTGTGCACTGCAACAGCTACTGCTCCTGTTGTTAAAGTTATTTCCTTTTTACAATACAACTCATAACTGATAACTACTACTACTACTACTACTACTACTACTACTACTACTACTACTACTACTAC